AAAAGGAGTATCCATTAGGGAACTAAAAGAGTGAATTTCCACATGAGTGAGATCTGGAGTTTTCGACTTACGGAGCCCAAGGGCTCCAGCGGCAGTTAGAAACTACTCTGCTCAGCACAGCAATTCCTCTGGAGGAGAGCGAGGTCCTGCCTGCTCTTGCTTAGGAAGTAAGCATTATAACAAAGCCTCTTTTCAAGGTTTAACCCAAGTTTGGTTTTACTGCGACTCAGCGGTCAATTTTTTCCTTCTAGGTTCTTTGTTAGTGTATACCTTCAACTTGGGAAGGACTTGTGAGATAATGGGACCACTGCTCCTCTGTAACCTCACGAAACATCACAAACCTTTAATTCACTAGTACTGTAGGGAGTCGAAAGTCAGAAAAAAACTTTAAGGAGTTATTTGAGTTCCATAGTGAGTTTACATTATATAATTGCTGTATTAGAGTTCAGTAATACAGTTAGGCAAAAATGTGTGGTTATGGGTTGGTTTAGGAAGGAAGAAAGACATTGTAAATATGTTAAAAATACTGTTATAGCCAAAAAGAAGAGGTTTTCGTTTTCAACTAAAAAATTAAGCCTAAATTCTGAGACACAGTGATCAAAGGCTTCATAGGAATGTTTTAGAGAAAAAGCCCGTCACTACACTGATTAGACCGAGAACAGAGAGGAAGTCTATGGTAGGTGAGAGGGGGGACATGCCATGGGTATATTTGAAACAGGCTCAGGAAGGGGCATAAATATAAGGTGGGCTTTACATAATAAAATGTTCCTATTTAGTTCGCCGAGTGTCTAACTTGGTTTTGATTTGAGGCTGTTTGTTTCTGTAGGGACAGGAACACATCTTTTCAATTAATATTGTGCACTGTACATTGTAAATGTCATACACATGGGCACTTAATTAAAGTTTCAAGGCAGGAGTCACATGCAGCTAGCCTTGCTGTCCTCCTGGGAGCTGCAGTGTGGTTTAGATCACTGCTAAAAGTCTGTAGGCTAGCTGCAACTGAATCATCCAGAGAACTTGAAAAGCAAATTCCCAAGCTCACCCCCAAGGAATTGTGACTCACTGTGCAAATGGGAGTCTATCCCAGGAATCTGTGTCTTTTGTAAGGCACTCCAGGTGAGTCTGATTATATCCAGGTTTGGGAAATTAGTTTTAAAGACCATCAAAGACTCTTAACAGTATAGGAGGCAACATCTTTGTAGTTCATTACTCACATAATGTGAGTTATAAATGCTGGGTCACAATATAAATTTCATTTAATTTAGTTATAGTTTACTCCCTAGCACTCTGCTGTGTTTATAGACAAACTTTTTCTTGTGAAAAGAATTAGGACTGTAAACACAATGTTGCTTTTTTATACATCTCAGTTACAGATTTAATAATACTACATACTTGCTAGACTATGTTGTCATTGGTTGAGCAAACCCGTTTTATTTTAGTGTGTTATAGTCTTTTATTGTGTTGTGTTGAGTTATGTTGTAGTTT